CATCTGGACATTGAGCCATTGACCACTAGTCTCTGCTTGCGACTATTCAACCAATTCCTTATACACCGAACAATCCATCCATCAAATCCATCTCTCTCCAATTTAGAGAGAAGGATGTTGTGGGGGACCATGTCAAAGGCCTTACAGAAGTCCAGATAGATGACATCTGTAGCTCTTCCCTTGTCCACTGATGTAGTCACTCCATCATAGAAGGCCACTAGGTTGGTCATGCAGGACACGCCCTTGCTGAAGCCCTGCTGGCTGTCTCAAATCACCTCCCTGTCCTCCATGTGCCTTATGTACATAGCCCCTTGGAAAAAATACATTCTGTTTTTAAGATTTATACAGTTTAGATACTGCAAATCTGATACATAGTCTCCAGCACTAGTTTTCAGATGAATGTTTCGTATGTAATGCTTTCTGTGCCTCTTAAAAGTGGTTCACAGGAAAATTAATATTACCCTGTTCTGTAGATAGGCTTTATGCAGTAGATGACATTTTTTATAAAATGTGTGGGTTTTTTCAAGCTTTTTGGCTGGTAGAAACTTAGTTGAATCTCAGAGAGCATGATTCTTCAGTACTGGAGCTCAGAGGTGTTTGTAAGTTCTTTCCTAGATTGAGCACACTCACTGCACTTTCTCTATGTGGATGCTTTATCCCTGAAAAAAGGTATAGCAAATATTTTTATAAAGGGATAAGTTGTTTTTACCTCTTTGATGTTTCCCATACCTTTTTACTGTTGTCTCTTTCACATTTCTTTTTATTTTACTTTTTTGCCTTTTATCCCTTATTCACTTGAGAAGTCACTGTTTTGGTATTTAATATTGGTGACTTTTATAGGTTAAACCTTGTGACATTCTGCTATGCGTGATTTCAGCCCTTCTTTTTTCCTGTATAACAGAGGATCTTCACACAAGACCATAGAATGAAAATTAATCAAGTCAGTCAGTCTTTTTAAAACCAGTCTTATTCTGCTCTTAATCTTTTTTAGACTTTAGAGCCACAGTCTCTATGCAGTTTATAAGTAATTGGTTAAGAAATTGTTAATGTTCTGCAATTATCAAAACAACTGACTTCAGTGTATTTTATATGTGCACATGCAGATTTTCAGATGATAATTACCACTGTGCAATATTCTGTTTTATAACTATCTTTCTACTTCTGGCAGGTTTCAGGAGGGGAAGATGAAATTCAACAGCTGCAAAAGGCTTTGCTAGATTATCTGGATGAGAACACAGAAACTGATGCATCATTAGTGGTAAATTTCAGCTTTCTGGTATCAATTTCAGTAACGTGTACTGAATAGAATTCTTCTCCGTTATGCATATTAGTGCTTCAATTAAACTGTCACCCTAACATACACTGTTGTGTTTTCCAAAATATTGTTGATGCATTAGATTCTCTTAATCTCATTAGAAATCTGTTAATTTTCCTTTTCTGTATCTGTTTGTTTTGTTTTCTGTGCATCCTGCTATATTTCTCCAGTTTTCTCGGAAGTTTTATATAGCTCAGTGGTTCCGTGATACAACTATGGAGACAGAGAAAGCAATGAAATCTCAGAAGGATGAGGATTCATCTGAAGGAACTCATCATGCAAAAGATATTGAGACCACAGGACAAATTATGCATAGAGCAGAAAGTCGCAAAAAGTTTCTTCGCAGCATCATTAAAACTGCTCCATCTCAGTTCAGTACATTAAGGTATGTTTCAGTACCATTTATTTCTTTAGTAGCCATGCATTTGATGTTTTAAATCATTTTTGACAAACGTCCTAATTAACTCGTGGAACTTGTTGCAGGATGAATTCTGATACTGTGGACTACGAAGACGCATGTTTGATTGTTCGCTACTTGGCCTCTATGAGGCCGTTTGCCCAGAGCTTCGATATTTATTTGACACAGGTAAACTGTGCCAGGAAACAGTGAAACATAGTTGGTTTCTGATTCCTAACACTTTTGCGGTAGTGTACCATATCTGTTCATTGTTGAGCACAGGTATTTAACAGGCCATGATAACACCATGTGCTTTCATATTCTATATTGATGACATAAGTGATCATGTTTCTTTTTCTTGCATGCATTTCATATGTTATATTGTACATGCATTATTTTATTTGCCCATGTATGTGTATGACAAAATCATTATCATTAGATGTATGCAGTAAGAGGATAATTACAAAATGTTGAAATCATTTTCACAGTTTCTATAAGATGCATGCTCATTTGGTAATACTAACTCATGAAATTGACCTTAATTTGATTTGAAAATACAAGCCAGCTTGATCAGTTGCTTGCAGTGCATGTTACTGTCACATTGTTGCTTTGACCAGTTGTTTGACCAGTTTGTTTCTTTGCTTTTTGTGGGAGAAGGGCGCTAACATGTTGGCATGGTGACATGTTTGAACTCCAGTACTAATTTAGGTTGCGTTACTTGTATTGATCTGCATATAGAGGCATTCTTAAAATTATAGTGCCCAAATCCAACTCTCCTGTTAAAAGAACCATGGTGAAAGCCACAACTGAATGACAAAAGTAGAGTTTAAAAAGAAAGTGAACATACGGACCCTGTGTTGGACCAGTCTTAGAGATGTAGCAAATCCCAGTAAATATCCATGCTCAGTTATCACTGCCATGGAACATCGCTTGCATGCACCTTTTTACTGTCTGAGAAGATATATTCCATTTTTAGTAGACAGATATTCTTATTTTAGTTAAATTGTTTGCATGTTATTCTGCTGCATTTTTGCCTGTTAAACATTGTTTGCTTCCTTCCCAAAGCAATTCAATCTTTGTTTTTGTTCTCTTACTAGATTCTGCGTGTACTTGGTGAAAATGCAATTGCTGTTCGAACAAAAGCCATGAAGTGTTTGTCTGAGGTTGTTGCTGTAGACCCCAGTATTCTAGCCAGGGTAAAAAAAGGAAATATCCATCATGCATGTACATTCTTCTGTCATGCTTAAAATAAATCTTCATTTCTTATTTTGAATCTCTGTTTCATTTGTTCTTTTTAGCTGGATATGCAGCGAGGTGTTCATGGACGGCTAATGGATAACTCCACTAGTGTACGAGAAGCAGCTGTGGAGCTGCTTGGCCGATTTGTGCTCTGTCGTCCTCAGCTTGCTGAGCAGTATTATGACATGCTGATTGAAAGAATATTGGTACGGTGACTTGTGATATTTATAATAAAATAAGTGGCACTGGAAAATCTGTTTTTAACTGAGTTTATGTGTTCAATAATATGGAATGATGATCCCAAGAGTAAATTGTATCTTACTGTTTTAATGGGGAGCATCATGCTTTTAAAACCAACCTTGTAAAATGCATCACTTGTTTCCAGTGAGGCTTTGTTACATCGAAAGGTAAACATGTATAGAAAGTTGTAGCACATCAGAATGAGGATTATATTCCTTTTGATTCCATTATTAAGGCACAGATTAGGTGAAATGAGGAATTTTGCCACATCTCTGAAGTCTGAGATATGGGTCATTCAGGGCAGTTCAGCAGTGTGGGTGATGAAAGATTTAAAACACAGTAATCTAAAGATGCCATTTGTAATCCAAAAGAAAAAAAAGATAAAACTACTTTGCTTTTCTATGCTATTTGTAGTGTCCTAAAGGGCTTCTTATTAGAGTTTTTGTACAAAAAGTGTTTTTTGTCTGGGGGTTCAGATAAAATACAATGTTAATTTAACTGTAAGATAACACTAGCTCTTAGCATCTATGTCAGGTTTTTAGTCAAATACTACTCATTTGCTATAGTTACGTGATAAAACATGTTTGTGAAGGGTTTTGGAGATAAGTAGCTTCATGTGCATATGAGCATGCATAAAGCAGTTCATCCTGACATTCAGATTCAACAGGTTTTGAATAAGGTAATATGAAGTGAAGCTCCTCATCCATCTCCTTAGACGAAGCTAGAAAAATAGAAGAGATTGCTGCGTGTATCTAATCCATAAGCTTTATCCAAAGGCTTGAAGTATTACAGTCCAGATCTACAAAGAATCTTGTGTGTTCCAACAAAATAGCTAAACCATCATCACATCTAGCTTGTAAGCGCTTGAATTAAGAGGTGAAATTACACATTTGCAACATCATGAGCTCTTAGATGGGAGGGTAGAAGAAAACAGAGGAAGCGTTTCAGCATTCTGGGGACTCCGCCAGAACCTTTAGAATTGTTGCAAATAAAGTGGTACAAGTTATGCTGACCTTTTGTATAAATGCACTCCAGAATATTTTAGCTGCCTTTTCTAAATAAATTTGGCAAGTCAGATTGGGTGATCTTCAAACATTAATTCATATAATACATACATTAATTCATATTTTTTATTTGTTTTCAAGAGTGTAATGCTTTTGTCTTCACAGGATACTGGTATCAGTGTCAGAAAAAGAGTCATAAAGATACTTAGAGATATCTGTATTGAACAACCGACATTTCCCAAAATTACAGAGATGTGTGTGAAAATGATTCGGAGAGTCAATGACGAAGAAGGCATTAAGGTAGAATGAAACATATCCTTCGGGATTTTAATTATTGTTCCTTTACTGTTTCTGTATTTTGATTAAAAAAAAAAAAAAAAAGTATTGCATTGCTTCTTTGTAATATTTATGACTTCTATTCACTTTTAATTTTTGGGAGCAAGTATTTTAGCTTTCTAAAATGCTCTCTGATTTGTTTTTCTTTCTTTTCTATCTTCTATTTTCTTGAAGTTCTTGCTGACAATCAAAAGATTTTAAAAAGTTATTTTCTAGAGTTTTTTTTTTCTTCTTGCAAGTGTTGTCTCTGGTACTTCTCTTTTCTAACAAGTGAAATTGGCATATAACATCAGAAAAAATGAGGCATTGTCTTCAACATATTTTTTATGTTTCCATGAATGAGGAGAGCTTCTTACAACCATATACCGTATAATAGTTGGAAATAATTTTGTTCACTTTCATTCTATTCCATTTTTTCCTCCATCCAAAAACATTTGAAGGGTAGAGAGACTTGGCTTCTTTCTCTTTCCCACCTTGTCACAGCTGTTTTGAATACTCCAAAGTAACCTACCGTTGCTTCTAGTTCTGCTGTAGAAATTATAATCTTGTGTTCAGTTGTCAGCTTCTCAGAGTACTGTGTTTTCCTGAGGAATGCAAATTAATGCAGGAAGGTGGTAACTCCATTTTCTGTAGCATCAGTTCCCATTGATCATTTTGCTGAAGCTTGCTTAGAGGTCAATATAACTCCTGTAATAGTCGATCTGGGTCTGTCTCAGATAACATTTCCTACAACAGTCTCTCTTAGGTTGAATAATTCCTTGTGAAATGGCATGCATCATCAACAAATCTACTGTATGGATGTATTAGAAATAATACCTGTGTGCCAAGATAAGCTTATTTATTTCTGCTAATTTTTTTTTCCTTCAGAAATTAGTAAATGAGACATTCCAGAAGCTCTGGTTTACTCCAACTCCACACCATGACAAAGAAGCAATGACAAGAAAAATACTAAACATCACTGATGTGGTATGTTAAACAAATTTAAGTTAAGTTGTGTGCAAAATTTGATTGTGTTTTTAATATCTTTGAAATATTGTCTGCAGTTTTTTAGAATACGGTAATTTAATTGTCAGATGGTTTTCTTTTTGTATCTCCTGGCATTGAATATATGCCAAAATTATTCATCTGATGGAACAGGCTGAAGGAAACTTTAAATGCTCACTAATCTGCTGGCAATGATAACTGGGACCACACTATATTCAGGTTGTCTAAAATACTGTTCGGTTAAAACACAACAAATTTCTATTGTATTTAACATTTTCCAGGAATTGCTAGTAGCAGCCTATAGTTAAGCCTAACTAAGAAGTTGTCTTTTAAAAGAAAATTTTCCTCAAACAATTGATAACATTTATTTTGAAAGGTTAATAAGGTTAATAAGCCTTAATAAATATAGGGTCATGTTCTCACTCAGGGCAAACTAGTATCTGCATAATTGTATCTACTTTTTAGGAGCAGCAAATTAAATAGCATGTCTTCAAAATAACAAAATTTGTTTCAAATAAAATGCTTTAATTCATAGTGAAAATGTGTTGTGTAAAATCACTGTGCTGAGAAGGTGCTTTAATATCAATTACTGATGTAAAGATGTAAATATCAAATGATGTAAATATCAAATAAAATTATTTGCTTCATTACTTAAAATTATGGGTTTAAACTTCATCCTGCTTTTCAATATTTTTACAAAATGGTAGTCTAGTGTGCATTTTTCCAGACTGAGAAGTCAGTCAATTTGACTTCAGCTTAACTCTCAGTTCTCCTGCCAATTCTACTTTGGAGCACCTGTGAGCTGTTCCTGACATATGGTATCAGTGAAGTCTTGGTTTGTTTGTATAAAAATATGTATATACATATATATAAACACATGTTCATTTTTAATATGTCCGGCTGGTATTTGTGCTTTAATCTGTGCAAAATGTTCTACAAAACCAAAATGTGGTTTATGTTAGAGCAATCAATCTCCAGTAAAATGTGTAAGCTTTGTGTTGAATACAAATTCTGGGGTCCCGTAAATGGCGAGAACTATTTTTCAAATGCAGAAGACAGTTTCTAATCTCCAAAGATATAAAATCGTTGTACTGAATGCGTATGAAAATATATCTATGCATGTTTACTGGTCTTTTAAGATAACATCTGTATTGAAGTAATTTTTCCTCAGATGCCTTTTTTATTAACCAGTTTATTCTCAAAAATACTTCTAGGTTGCAGCTTGTAGAGATACAGGGTATGATTGGTTTGAACAGCTTCTTCAAAATGTAAGTAATGAATTTTTAATATATGGTACAACCATTGTTAGAATTTTAACATTTCTTTTGGTACTAAAACACATAGAAGGGGGACTACAAGAGCAATCCTTTACAGTAGAAAAATTCAATTCATGTCCTTTAAACATCTGACCTTTGCCAATCTTCATTGCTGCAATTTTCTTTGTCTCTGACATTAGTTTCTGTCCTTCTATATGATACGTTTTAAAAATACATCTTGGTTTTGGGAGGGGTTTTGTTTGGTTGGTTTTAATTTCATAGATTCTTCAACAATACGTGACACAACATGAAGTCCACAGCTAAGATACTTAATTCTGAAATGAGGCATCTAGTGTAATGTAGATTTTTTAAAATGATTCATAAGCGTATTTTCACATCCAATATGTTTGTTACATACTTTATAGAAGCAGTGAATCTTCAGAGTATAGATTATTTCTATATGATATTTTACTCTGATTTTTCTAAGAATTGAGCTTGTTTTGTTTATATCTCTTAACTTGTGTTACCGTTCTCCTATACATCTTGTATGCACTGGTTAATTTTCAAGCAAAAAAACCCTTTTGATTCTACTTTAGCCTGGAGTGCCTTGAAAATAGGTAGCCAAGTAAACCAGAGCCTCTTAATGCCTGCACTGAAGAAAAGTCTATAGTATGGTCTCAATCCTTCTTAGATATTAAAGGGTGTTCATGGACACAATTTCAGTACCCAAAGTCATATGGAAGAAGGCTAACTTATTAAAATGTTCATAAAACCATGTTTCATCTTTCTTTGATATTTTTGCTTAGTGTCAAAAACAACATTCCTTTTGAATTTGCTCTTTTTTTCCCCTAAGCGTTTTAAAAGCCTTCTAACTCCTATATAGTTACTGCTGGCAAGTATGACTACGTTATTGTTTTCCGTATTGTTTCATTAAGCACAAAGTTACCTTTCATCCCTGTGCAAAAATCAGTAGAACTTTACTGGTTTTTTATTGCGGTTAATTTTTCTTTACTTCTCTTGCATTTTGGTTTGATTTTTTACTTCCCTTAATCTTTTCTTCACCATATAACTTTTATAGAGAAGTTAAATAAATACTTTTGTAGTGCAAAATCCTTGTGTATCTGTAGTAATGGTTATAAAACAAGCATGTTTCCAATGTAAATGAATGCACCCTTGATACTAAATCATTTTCTGTTTCATCTGCTACAGCTGTTGAAGTCAGAAGAGGATGCCTCTTATAAACCTGTGAAGAAAGCCTGTACTCAACTTGTTGACAATTTGGTTGAGCACATTCTTAAATATGAGGAGTCTTTATCAGGTAATATTATTTACAACCCAGCAGCTAAGCCCTTTTGAATTTTGTATGATACTGTAACAGTGGTTGTTCAAATCACTATTGCGAAGAGTTACTGTTACAGAATGCCTGTTACAAAACTGATGGTAATGAATTGTTGCTTTTAAGTTCATTATGAACTTTTGAGCACTGTACAATAGTGAAGCTCCCCTAATTTTCACTAGCTAACCACAATAATAGAAGGACTTCTAAAATAACTTGTTCAAACTTTTGGATCACTAAAACCAAAACAAACATGGCAAGTTTTATTAGCATTAGTATATTCTACAGGTGTAATAGGAATCATTGGTTGGGCCAGTGTTCTGTGTACAGTAAATAGTTTAAAAACCAGTGATGTCTTTGGGGCATCTTTGCTTCTTTTTTTCACGTATTTTGTGATCACATACAAATGTTAACACATTATGTTCTCACCTCTAATCTAATAAGAATATTCTGTATTGATCTTGAAAGAGATGTAATGAAAGAGATATTCGAATGGTGTTTAAGCCGTATGTTTTTCATCGCTCAAACATTACTTGGACTTAATATCCTTTTTGTATTTTCTAATCTTTCGCAGATTCTGACAACAAAGGTGTGAATTCTGGTCGCTTGGTTGCTTGCATAACCACTTTGTTCTTATTCAGCAAAATCAGGCCCCAGCTAATGGTCAAACATGCCATGACCATGCAGCCATACTTGACCACTAAATGTAGTGTAAGTAGAGAAAATCAATCTCTTTTTTTCTCCGCATAATTAAGCATGGAAATGAATAGCTGTCTTGTATATTTGATGAAATCGAAGGTAGGAAAAGAAAAATTGTGGTTTTATTTCATGGACGTTACAGCTTCTGAAGATGATCTCTGTAGCTTCTAAGATGCTGTTCCTCACCCTCTACCTCCACATTTTACAGCCAAATGAAACTGAAACCTGTGCTGCCTCTTTCAAAAGACCCAGTTTTTCACCTGTTGTGAAATAATTTCTTAAAATAGTTCTGTTTTATAATCACAGTCCTAAAAGTAGTTAATATTTAACATATGAATCTTAAGGCTAAAGGTATGGTACCATAACATAGAGTGATCTAACATACAGCAAATGTATCAGAAGGAAAATGTCCTGCTCCATCCTCTTCCGTACTTCACCTCTCATTTCCCTAGCTCTAGTGTTTTTGTTTTCCCCTGTAAGACAATTTAGGTCACAAAAATGGTAGAGAGCTATAATGCTGAACCCCCCCAATCGGGTAAAATGGCCCCCCTCTTCTGAAACATTGTGGCACTTTCTGCCATTTTGATTAGCACAGTTGGTTTAGTGAATGTTGTGATGAACCCTTGGTCTGTAGAAGTAGTAGGGCAGTATCATGCAGCCATGGCTCAAGGAGGAGCATGGGTAGGTGGCAGCAGTCCAATCTCATTAGGTCAGCTGCCCAGGGCAGGCTTGAGAGTAATTGTTATCAGTTTAGATTGTAGGTATAGCCTAGCATTTTCCAGGTTCAGCCCTGGAGTGTTTTCTAATCACATTTACAACAGACTTTTAGAGTGCTTCTGATCAAACAGTATAGGAAAGGGTTATCTGATTATTTACTTGCTGCAAACCATTTAGTGGGTTACATCGGTTTTGTACTTACACAGGTTGAGGTGAATTGTAGAATTAGCACTGTCAACTTGAATATGTTAAATAGCTTGATAGTAGCATTTCGGAGTTATCCTATCCTGATCAGTGAGCTTGACTTGTCAAAAAAGTCAGTTTCTAGCAGGATGTATCTTTAATGTTTTCCATAGATCTCTCACTTACAAAACATACAGTCATAATAATGCAAACCAGTAATAATTTTAATTGTAATTTCTACATTTGTGCACATTATTACCTATTTCATTTAAGGCACATTGAGTCATAGCACAACTTCATTTTGTTGCTGACACCTGTTCCCAGGTGTTGTGTGTTCTCTAGAGTGCATGTGTCAAGAAGAGTTCCTAGATTTATTTTAGGACTCCAAAAAATTATCAGGACCAAAGTTTTCAGGTCTGTCTCAGTCTGGATGAGAGGTGAAGTTCTGCTCGTACAGATTCTTTTTTCCGGAAGTTCTGTAGAAAACAGAATTAGCTTTCATAATAATATGTAATTTAATAGCAGATGTAAACTATATAAATACTCTTTTAGACCTTTACCAAAAATCTTACATGAGTTGGGATTTCTGACTATAAGTGCATATTAATACTACTTAGCTTATAGGTGACATGGCCAGAAATGTTAAACACTGTAAATACTGTTGTTTCAGACCCAGAATGATTTCATGGTGATCTGCAATGTTGCAAAAATCTTAGAGCTTGTAGTGCCGCTAATGGAGCACCCAAGTGAGACCTTTCTTGCCACTATTGAGGAAGACCTCATGAAACTTATCATCAAATATGGCATGACGGTAAGCTTTTAATTGCTACTATTCCATTGATTCCATTTCACATGGTGAAATACGTGATTTTGATTCAAAGAAAATCTGTCTTCATTATGAAGATAACTTTTGAGCCATGAAAAATCAGTGTACTTGGTTTACTGGAGTTTGTATGTGTTGTTGCTATATTCTAAGGAGTTTGAACAGGTTTTCAGAGCCATCTAGGAGATCGACATTACATCTGTTAGATCCTTAGTTTCAGTTCAGCAAAGCTTTTTCCTACATAACTTCACAAAAATCTCCATTTTAACTTCTAAATATATAATTCATTTGTTCTTTCTTCCTCCTAGGTTGTTCAGCATTGCGTGAGCTGTCTTGGGGCTGTTGTGAACAAGGTCACTCAGAACTATAAATTTGTGTGGGCCTGTTTTAATAGATACTATGGTAAGTAAAATCACAACATGTAATTGTCACTTTTCAGTTTTTGCTACAAGTCTTGTCTTAGGGATACACCACGATTAAACTCTGTGATCAAAACTTTTATCTTACTATAGGTGCACTTTCAAAATTAAAAAGTCAACACCAAGAAGACCCCAACAGTACAATACTTACTGCCAATAAACCAGCACTCCTTAGATCACTTTTCACTGTTGGAGCACTGTGTCGGCATTTTGATTTTGATCAGGAAGATTTTAAGGGCAACAGTAAGGTAAAATATTTACTTTCCAAGTCTTAGATATATTGAATGCTCCACTTTAATTTGAAAGCACATTATTCCTAGTTCCTCAAAGCTATGTATTTTTCCATAATGCATACAATATAGCTTTTTTGGTTTTTAAATACATCATTTTGCAAAAGCCATGCAGTAAGATTGTGTTTCTCCTTTTCTTTTTGATATTTATGCTTTTTATAAGAGATTAAAAACATCTGTTTCATTTTCAAATAGCTATTTTTTTTGTTCTAATTTGCTCAGGTTAACATTAAGGATAAAGTACTTGAACTGCTGATGTATTTTACAAAGCATTCAGATGAAGAAGTACAGACAAAAGCCATTATTGGCCTTGGTAAGAAATATTCATAGTTTTTATTATTCTGCTATAGTATAAATTCATGCATATCAGTAGGAGTTCATGTGTTTGTGTAGTGGCAAAGGATTTTGTTTAAAATCAAAATTTACTGTGTGTTTTATTTGAGAACTGGCTATAGAAAAGTTGTCAAAGGGTTGCTAGTTGCATACTTCTGCAGCAGAGTGGATGCTTTTGACAGTGAATGCCTTTTGATATGTGACTAAATCTTAAAGTGTAGCAGATTTCCGAAGTAATGGAGATACTATTTTTTCTCCACATGCAAGTATGTTGTAACTCCAAATCTTGTTTTTCATTCCACAAGGTATGGTAAAAGAACATTAGAAAAAGTGCTGGAAAAACTTTGAACATTTTAAGTGTAGAAGCAGATATTCTGCAGGAGTCAAGGGAACTCTGGCAGTTTATACCAACTGGGGGGTGCTCTGTGAGATTTCAGTCCAGATATTACAGGTTCTTTTGGGATTTTAGCTGTATTTCACTTTTAAATAGATAAGAGTCTGAAGGCATTAGTATGGTATTTCAGTGACTTGCAGTAGTACATGAACTGCCATTGAGTGGTTTGTATCATGTTCATCTTCTGCTTAAGGACAAAAACTGTACATGTGAGAGAATCTTGTTTGGGCAGGTACGCCTTGGTTTCTGGAAGAGTTCAGTTCATGGTTATGACTTAGTTTAAAGAAAGTTGTCTTCCAGGCATGTGAGCTTGCATTGTGTAGTTTAACTGTGGACAAGAATTTGCCTCTTTTATGTTGCTGTTTAGGTGGCTTTTTAGATACCCTGCTTCAGTTCAGGCTACGGAGGGCTCCGAGGATGAGGACCAAGACTGAATCTTGATTTCGTATTCTATGAGAAACCATTTCAGACAGCTGAGCAGGATTAGTGGCTTTAGAGTTGCCTCTGTTGCAGGAGCAATGCTACGGTTTTCTGGACTAGTTGGAGTTTTTCTAGGCGTTACATCAAGGTGCACAACACTTAACTGTAGTCCAGTCCAATTTAATTGTCCTCTATAGAATATTGCACGTGGGATAGGAGCTGTCTTCCTAACCATTGACATGATTGCTTTGCTCATGGGTGTGGAGGATGTTGCATTCTTCAAAAATGTTAAGTTATAGACTGAACTGTGATCAGTTTGGGGGAAGGGGAGAAAATGGGGGTGGCTGTCAGCTGGCATTCTTCAGATGTATTTTTCTCTGCCTGTAGGCATATCAGTCTTTATTTTAATTAAACCTCAGACAACTGTTTTCAGTGATATATCGATCTCATCTAAATGCTGGTTCCATTTTGAGGGTAGCTGTTGGATGTATGGAGATGTGGTAGACAGTGCAAAGTTCCACCTTACAGGCTGGTAATTGAGCAAAATTGTCAAAACCATTCAATATTTGTGTGCAGCAATAAGGTGAAAAGGACTAGCAAGCTAATTCAACATTTATACACAGTGAAGGCGTCATGTGAAGAGTGTGTACTTCCTATCGGCAATTATTGGTATGTTGTTTCAGTAAGGACACACAATGGTTTTAGCCTTTTCTTTGGGATGTGTCACTGGTGTTAAGGGATTAAGCCTAACCATAATCGTAATGATTATTGTTATGCTTCTCTTCCAGATGTGTTCTTGCAAGGCAGGTTGAGGATATAAAATTTTAGTAAATTTAGCTAAACCTCTAAGTATCTAACAGGTACTGTCTTACTCAGCCAAGTTCAGTGCTTAATCTTAAGACTCTTAACAGAGTGAAAATAAAGATAAGAAGAGAAGTGGTGTGAGGGCAGCCCCGAGATGTGAAGTCAGTCCTTAAAAGAACACAGCAGGTGCCTTTTTTCATCTCCTATGACAAATTCTTACGCCAAGTAAGATTTCTTCGCCGCTTACAGGGGATGGAAAAATAAGAATTTCCCTGAGAATACTGGCGTTTTAGACTCTTAAGTGAATGACGGAAAAAAAGTGTTATGGGTTGTTACACATACATGCACATGCTTTTCATTTTTAAAATTAACCTTAAGAAACGGGTTGGACTTGCTCAAAGGTGGTCAAGTTACAAACATCAATATACACCTGTATAGAGTGCACAGTTATACCACATACTCCAAAGACCATCATCATTCCTTTTTCTTTTTCTCCTCTTTCCCCTCCACCTCACCTGTTCCTCTCTGTTTCTTGTTCTGAGACTGAAATGAGATCTTAAACACACTGAGGTCTTGCCATGAACTTAGCCTTTACGTACCCTGTCTTTTCTGTGTGTATGGAGCCAGCTTTAAAAACTTGACTCAGTCTTCCTTTGTTAAAGCTATTTTTATACATTGCTTTTGCATAATTTAATTTGCTTTCATTTTTTCCCCCCATTCTTCTTTTGTGTTCATATATTTTCTGTGTGCTTATTCAGAATCTTAGTTTCCTGTGGTCACAAAAAATACATTTAATGTCTGCTTTTCTTGAACAGTCTTAAAAAAAAAATCAAGTAGTTAAACGTAATTTAAATTGGGATGTTATGTTCCCATTACTGTTTTTTTATGATACTCTGTAAGAGTTTGTCAGCAGCACTTCTAAACCTACATACATGATCTAAAATGGTATATATTGTCACTAATTTAGAAAAGTTTTTATGAAATATAGACTAAGAACAACCAGTTCCTTGACAAGTGTAAGGCTGCAGCTAAAAACAGTTCTATAGTGTGTATCTTCCAACAGATGTAGACTTGGGAACACTTCAGATAGTTCTCAAGAGGAGACCTTAATAGGTATATGAATAATGACAGGAGGAGGTATAAATTTTACTGCGTTCACTGTTGGTTTATTTCTTTTAAGATTTTATTTTTAAATACGTCTGATATTTATCAATTTTTCCACATTTGCTCTGTCTCCATATGAATAACTCTTCACAGTTTCAGCAGAATGTTTTTCTCCAAATGTATTAGAAAAACAATGGGTGATTTTTAGTAATGTTCCTCCCTTCTGAGAGCTCCTCGTCATTCAGATGCAGGCCACTACACTGGACTTGCTTCCAGACCTGTATAACTCTTATTAGTGCAGCTGCCCTGGATTGACACCTGTCTTTATCCATCAAACGGAGTCATGGCTAATAGAACTGTCATGACTAACAGAACTTCTTATAAGCTATGAATGGTGTCCATGTAGAAAAGCAGTACCATTTGGACTAGAAAAAGCTATGCTGTTGGGAGGAACTAAATTTCATACCTCTATTTTGAAGAAAGACTTAAAAAGCAGAAATACAATTTCTAGATGTTAATAACATAGAATATTTCCTCTGTTTCTCCACCCTTAGGATTTGCATTTATACAACACCCAAGTTTAATGTTCGAACAGGAAGTGAAGACTCTGTACAACAGCATTCTTTCAGATAAGAACTGTTCAGTAAACTTAAAAATCCAGGTGTTAAAAAACCTCCAGACCTACTTGCAGGAGGAGGATACACGTATGCAACAGGCAGACAGAGACTGTAAGTGTTTAGAGTTCTTCTGTGCTAATGAGGCATGCAAGAACTAACTTTCTTGCATACAATTACTATATATGTGAACTGAGTCACTTAAGGTTGTTATCAGATCAGTAATATTGTACCCGAAGTATCTTAGAATAATTTTCAAAAATTCATTATGTGCATAGGTATATTACTTACTTTCAAGATGTATAAATCCTGGAAGCAATCCAGAATGCATAATTGCTGCAATGATAGTGGTAACACTTTTTATCAAAATCTCTTCTAAGGTTAATTTGCAGATAGAAAATAATAAATGCAATATAAGAAATTCTTAAAATGGAAAACCTTTATTAAGGAACAAGGTTTTAATTAAAGTCATGTCTCTTTAGTTTTTTATGTACATTTACCATCAGACTGTTCTGCGTTTCATGAGATCATAAACCCATTTTAAGACAGCTAAAATGTTTATGTATTGCTTAAAGATCAGCATGGATTAAGTAATGGCAAAGTAAGTGATTATACTGTGGTAAGTGTGCTATTGCTTTTCTCCTTTTTACAGGGAAAAAGGTAGCAAAACAGGAAGACCTGAAAGAAATGGGTGATATTTCCTCAGGAATGAGTAGTTCCATCATGCAGCTATATCTCAAACAGGTCCTTGAGGCTTTCTTTCATACCCAGTCCAGTGTACGCCACTTTGCTCTAAATGTCATTGCACTGACGTTAAACCAGGGTCTCATCCATCCTGTTCAGGTATGGTAGGCTTTTATGATGGGAGTTTTTGTTATTCAGGTTTTCAGAGGGTTTCACACTTGCTACATAAATTTCCGGTTTTTCTTTTCCAGCTATGTTACAGTATTGTAGCAATGGGCCATTACAGAAAGCGTATTTTGAAATTCATTTTATTTTGTTTAGCCAGTGAGATTCCAAATGCTGTATTTTCTGGTTTTGGATCAAGATGTAAATGCCCAGCCAGTGACTAAAGAGCATGTACAAATGTACATTGGAGCATATTTCTGTTAAAAATCTCAGGTGTATGCCAAGTTGTTTTCTTCATTTGATTCTTTATCCTGGAAAATGTGTCAGCTTGCCTCCACCTCAATCCCCATGTCCTCCAAACACTATGAAATTCTACAGTCAATGTCAGAGCTTCAGTCATCATCTCCATTATTGCTTGCTTACATAATGTTTTTGTAACTATTTTTTATACTGCAGCCATTGTGCATGTTTAGTCATAAGTGGCGGGGGGGGGGCGGGTTTAATGGCATTTTTTTGTAGTGTAAATTGACTTCAGAGTTTGGGACAAAGGGAAATACTACCTGAAATCGCACACAACTTCTATCAATTATAATGCTAGTGTCTCTCATATTTTGTAGTATCTGGTTGCAAAAAGTAGTCAAGAAGTAAGTTTCATAGAGCTTCCTTATTCAAGTTTCTGCAGTAGTCAGACTATAACAAGAACAATAGTGTAGTAGAAGAACAAAGGCTGAGAAAGAGGAGGTACAATGAATAATAATTTCTGAATTCACTCTGAATAATCATTTCATTTGTTTTTCAAGTGTGTGCCGTACTTAATTGCTATGGGCACAGATCCAGAGCCCTCTATGCGAAATAAAGCTGACCAGCAGTTGGTGGAAATAGACAAAAAATACGCTGGATTCATTCATGTAAGTAATTCTAATTTAACATTTTAAAACATACTGTTATGTTCTCTAGTGGTTTAACACCTGAATATGCCTCAGCTGCAGAAAAAGAATATAAAATAACAAAATAATAACTATAAGCAGTTGTAAAATGTTTGGAGATTTCTGTTCTTAGAAATAGAAAGGATATAATAATTTGAAGTGTCTCTTCCAGACCAAAACTTCTTTTAATTTGTAACTCACAGTAATATTTTCCTCACTGAATAGTGCTTAAGAGCATTTTTTTGATAAGAGGTAAGGACAGCTGTTCCATAATGTTTAGCAATGATTTTCCTGTATCGGTGGACTAGGGAAGAGAACACCTTGTAAAAGTAGAAGTTCCTAGTGGATATGTATTAGAACATTAAGTCATCAAGGCTTTATAAATTGTAATCTAAGCAGAAGGAGCACAGGAAGCTGTTTAGATCTGAGGGATCTTGCTGAAAGGAAAATCTAAGGGCTAAGGGAGGACTTGTGGAGTTGTGGCATAGTGCCAATAATTCTGCTTGAGATCTGAACTTGAGCTGCAGCACCTTCTCCTTATTTCAGAAGTCCCCAGTCTAGGTTCAGTGCGTGTACTACATTGTGGGACTTCTCATATCTGCTTATATTCCACTGCAGTTGGAGCGTTGCAGTGTTGATGGCATCCAGATACCTAACCCAGTAGGTGACGGCTAGCAGGTGAAATTTGCTATGTAGGCAGCTGGGATTTAAGACAATGTATAGATGAAGACACAACTTCGCTGAACAGCAGCAGAGGTGGTATGAGGAGAGTTAGATGTGCAGCCTAACTAGAGATTCAGTTTGTTCTGAAAATAGAGCAGGAGCCTTGAAGTAAGTAAAATCAGCTGGAAATTACAGGATATATGCAAAAAACCCTTCATTTTCAATTTGTTAGTCCTATTGTACTAATATGGACTGAGTTGTTGGCTTCACTACAAGTGACATCAAGCATACACATGTGGTAAAATACTCTGTTTATATATGAAAACATTTCAGTATTCTTGAAAACTGTTTAAATGGGAATACCTGGCTGTAGTGGGTAAACAGATTAGCTGTGTGTTTCTAACAGAATTTACAGTGAAAGCAGTTCACAAGACATTCTGATCTCGGCCACAAGTTCTGTTTTAATCCATTTGCCAGCTCAAAAGGTAGTATTGCCTCAGTGCATGTTTTAAAGTTTAACTTCAGATGAGCATCTTCTTAAAAGGAGTAAATTTTACTGCTTTGAAAGCAATGGTGTAAATAAAAATAAATACATTTCTGTTTCAGATGAAAGCAGTGGCTGGTATGAAGATGTCTTACCAGGTACAACAGGCGATTAATACCTGCCCGAAAGATCCTGTAAGAGGTTTTAGACACGATGAATCATCCAGTGCATTGTGTTCACACCTATACTCCATGATCCGAGGGAACCGTCAACACAGACGAGCGTTTCTAATTTCTTTACTCAACCTCTTTGATGATACTGCGGTAAGCATCACATTGCCTTCACTTAAAAAGAAATTAAAATACAGCATTACAAGCTTAAATTCTCCTTTTACAATGTATTTTTATGACATAATTATTGGTAACTTTATTTCCTAATGTACTTTGTTTTGCTTTCTAATATAAGTAATACCTATATAATATTACCTATAATAATAGAATGCATTTGTTACTTCTGCACCATTGTGTACCTTTTGTGTACCCAGTTTGGACTTATCAGAAATAATGTTTCTTCAGGTGTGACTAAATTTTGCAAAAATACATGTTGTTTAGAGTGGATTTGGGGCAACTACATAGAATAAAATTTGTGATCGTGTTTTTGCTCTAGACGGTTAGGAACACAAGATAAGTGTATAAATCTAAGATATTTGTATGTGTATTTATATGTACTTTTTTTTTTAACTTCCAGAAAACAGAGGTGAATATGCTCTTGTACATAGCAGACAATCTAGCCTGTTTTCCTTATCAAACACAGGAAGAGCCACTGTTTATAATGCATCATATAGACATTACACTATCAGTTTCTGGTAGCAACCTACTACAGTCATTTAAAGAGGTATGTGTGTTTATATTTTAGTATATTTGTTATGGTGGCAACATAAGCTTCTCTATAATTTGGCTGATTTTTCAGTGAATGCAGTACCATTATTATGATATGGTCCAGTAGCATTACTTTGTAACCAGTAGTTAAAAACAAGCAACTCTTTCTGTTCTGGCCTGCATCTGGTAGACACTAGTTACAAACTTTCCTTACATCACTGCTTACATTATTAAAGAAGAATGATGAATTTTGAGATCTTAATATCAAATCTATATCGTTCCCTGATATGGATGAATAATAATTAATTTTATGCATCTGGAACACATGAACCCAGAATCATCATGAAATAGTGGTTTATTGTGGTTGTTTGTATAATTTTAATAATAAAATCCAGTTGGCTGTTTATTTTGTTGTCGAGTAGCTGATGGCAGTTGCATGTGTGTCGCCAGAGAGACTTTAAATACATTGTTTATTGCAAGAAAAGAGTGCACAATATGTCTTTTCTTAAGGTAGCATTTAAGAACCTGAATCATGGGGTAGTATCTGTTGTTATGGCAATACACAACCCTGTAAGAAAAAAGCCTCTGCTTCTTAAAGACTTCAGTGTCTTCATTTCCTGGACAACTTAACAGTAGAAGGTGCAAACTGCCAGGAAGCAAATCCATTTCTAGAATGTCCAATCTGACTAGTAAGTACAAGTCAGAGTTGATGCCTGGAAAGTACACTGCTTTGAATTCTCACCCTACCACAGTTGATTTTTAATCTGCTAGAAAGAGTCATTCTTCAGGTTGGGGACTAGGCATGTAGCACCCAGCACAGAAAGGGTGAGATCCTGCTTAGGACATCGTATGATTTTTCATAACACAGAACTTACTATGCGCAGTAATAATGCACGTGTAAAATTCTGTAGCTCTACAGGTAGTAGAATTAATACTGTGTATGATCACTTGAGGGTTTCTGGTCAGCAGTCAGCAGTGTAGTTAGTGTCACAGAATTTTAAGAGACAAGTATTAAAACCAGCTTGGACTAGTCTGTACCAAAGTACATATGGAAATCTACGTGACACAAAAAGGATATCCAGGTGAAAGAAAAACAGAATTTTCTTGCTGATTCGTTGTATTTGGCCTTCTACTGCATTTTACTGTCACAGCTAATGAGCTTGAGCAGTCTTTTAAGAATAACATGCTAGTGGAGTACTTGTTGCTTCAGTTCCTTCTGTACCCACCTTGCAAAAAATGTGGGCTTTGGATCAATTTTTCAGCATCTTTTTGCCATAAATAATTTTAATTTTCAGTATCAAGTTATAAATGAATAACATTGTTCAGGGAATTCTTGCTAATTTAAGCCAGTAATGATTTTGGCAAGATTTTTTAGAAATGTACATGATGCTACTTATTCTAATTTTGGAATGTGTGTTAACTTCTCTGTCTTACAGTCTATGGTGAAAGACAAAAAAAAGGAAAGAAAACCTTCATCAGATGAGGAGACTGAGAGTGACAGTAACAGTGGTAGTGAGAGCGAAAGTGAGGAGGAAGCTTCTAAGCCTCGGAGGTTACGGAAACGAGTAGACTCTGATTCAGATTCTGATGAAGAAAATGATATAAATGCTGTGATGAAATGTTTACCAGAAAATTCAGCTCCTTTAATTGAATTTGCAAATGTCTCCCAAGGCATATTACTACTTTTGATGCTGAAACAGCATTTAAAGAACCTCTGTGGATTCTCTGATAGGTAAGGATATTTAGATAATAAGTCATCTTGTTATCTAGTGAGTGTTATCTTTGTAAGGATTAAGTTTGAAAATTTTTTTTAAAAGTTGATTGTAACTAATTGTTTAAGCAATAGATCTGTGTAAGAGAAAAAACGTAAATGTGGTAAGTTGAATGTAATGAAACTTTGGCTTAGAAAAAGCAATGATTTCATTTCTTACCAGGATGTCTATTGTATATGGCATGATTAAAATATAACTACTTATATTGAAGATTTTAAAAGCTTTTCCTTGAAGTTATTTGGACTTTCCTTAAAAGATCTTCCCTTTTGTTTTCTTTAAACAGTAAAATTCAGAAATACTCTCCATCTGAATCTGCAAAAGTTTATGATAAAGCGATAAACAGGAAGACAGGAGTACACTTCCATCCAAAACAAACTCTGGATTTTCTGCGGAGTGATATGGCTAATTCCAGGATCACTGAAGAAGTGAAGAGGAGTATAGTAAAACAGTACTTAGATGTAAGTAAAGTTGCTTTGCAGGAAACCTGAAATCCTTTCAAACTAGGTAAAACGATATAAACTTGAAAGTAGATGCTGATGTATTGGATGAACATTTTGAAATGTTAAGTTCCTGATAATCTTATGCGATATACTGATAACTCACCACTTCCTTTCAGGATGTTTAGCAGGAGTATCTTTGAAAGACTTCTAATAAGTTTAAACACAATGAAAATTAATTTCAACTAAAGGATATTCATCTTTATGAAGTATTTTCTAATTTCTAGTATCCATCTTGTATACCTCTCCTATGTATCTTGTTCACTTTATCCCTGACTGTTTCCATCATAGAAACAGAGACTTGTTCCTATGTTCCAACATAGGAATACAGATCTAGTGTATTTACTCCCCCCCCAGTCTTTAAATATCAATTAGAGAAAACTTGCTATTTTGGAAACACAGGAAAAAAGCTTTTACGTATCTACTGAAAAAAGAGAGGAAAGTAAGAAGTTTGTAGAACAAAACATACACTGTCAAGTTTGAAGTTGTCTGCCATTTGTTTTACCTTGCCATTTGTTTTTATTTTAAGTAGAGTGATACAAATGTCTATTTTTAAAGTTACAATGTGGACTAATCTGTTTTTTTAATAGTTCAAGCTCCTTATGGAACATTTGGATCCTGATGAAGAGGAAGAAGATGGAGAGGTGTCAGCTAGCACAAATGCTCGGAACAAAGCAATTACCTCGCTGCTTGGAGGAGGCAGCCCTAAAAACAATGCAGCTGAGACAGAGGACGATGAAAGTGATGGGGAGGATAGAGGAGGAGGCACTTCAGGGGTGAGGCGGAGGAGGAGTCAACGTATTTCGCAGCGTATTACGTAAAATGATTTTTATGTGCTTATAAATGTCAGTCTATTATATTAAATGTACACCAAGTAATGTAATCGACATGAAAGAAAGCATTTTGTAGATAGAGATTCTCTACTTAACCGTTTATACAACTTTTGTAGAAAGTTTAACAGAAAAGACAATAAAAAAAAAACCAAACTAGAAAATGAGATTTATCCCGTATAAAAAGTTATTAATTTTCCTTTGGAATGTACTGTGTGTTATCCTTTTTATTGTTGCCAAGTTTTTATGTAGCTTTATGATTCATGTGTATATATAATTTTATATATCAATAAGAGATAAAGACACGGGTACAAATTAAGAGTATGTGGTTTTACAAGGATATGTTAACCCCTTGGCGCTGGCGGTCGCGGTGCGTCTCATTGCCGGCAATGGAATGTGTGCCGGGAAATCCCAACTCCCGGCGTCAAGGGATTAAAAGCAATAAAAGCAATAATTTCACTAAAGTTCTTTTGTGTAACACTTGGTCTTTTTTCCCCCCAATGTTTTAGTCATTGAGAAGGTCAAAACGAAATTCAGACTCTACGGAGTTGGCAGCACAGATGAATGAAAGTGTTGATGTCATGGATGTCATCGCTATTTGCTGTCCAAAGTACAAAGACCGACCACAAATTGCAAGAGTAGTACAGAAAACCAGCAATGGCTTCAGTGTTCAGTGGATGGCAGGCTCCTACAGTGGCTCCTGGACTGAGGCTAAGCGCCGTGATGGCCGCAAACTGGTGCCTTGGGTAGACACTATTAAAGAGTCAGACATTATTTACAAAAAAATTGCTCTAACGAGTGCTAATAAGCTGACTAATAAAGTTGTGCAGACTTTACGATCGCTGTATGCCGCCAAGGATGGAACTTCCAGCTAATGAATTTGTACATGCAGCCAAATTTACAGGAATTGAAATAACAGAAAAACTTGAAATATCAACTTTCTGGCAAAAAAAAAAATCAATTAAATGAAGAGTAAGAATGGAACCTGGGACGCGGGAAAAAAGAAGGAAATGTTTGGTAAACATTTTTGTGGGAGCTTCCTTCGCTGTTGTGCAGCAGAAACTTCTCAGTTCATTTTTACTCCCACTGTATTATAGTTTAACAAAAAAATTGTTTATATCTTGAAAAAAAAACTTTCTGTTTAAAAAAAAATAAACAAGTGAATGTTGGAAATTAGTCTGTTAATGTTCTTAATAAAGTGTTCTTGGAGTTTAACCTAGCAGCGGATGGCTTTCTTTAGCTTAGCCCAGTTTCCAGGGAAGCATTGTTTTTCCAGGCTGTAAAATGGCAGAATCTCCTGGATATATAATTTATTCTGTTGAAGAAAAAAAAAAAGCAAAAAAAAAGGCAAAAAAAAAGCATGCAGTATCTATGACCTATCTGCAGGAGGAGTTTTTGTAAATGTAGATTTTGATGTATTAGGTCACCCTGAAATAATACAAGAAAAGGGATCCCCAGCAAATCTGGTGGAACGAATACTGCAATAAATTTTTTTACTTCTCTTTGTTACTTGTCTGTTTCCATTTGAATTTCTTATTGTAAAGATCTGTTTAAATCCATTTATATTATTTTGCAGTCTTTTATGTAAAATTTACTATATCAGTGGTTTTCAAAACAAGACATAAAATATTGTTTATACAGTTTGTATAGGCTGACTTCTGAATAATTGGTATCTTTTTATTTTTATCCCTTAAAGGGTGTAAACACAAGTTAATTCCAGGGTTTTATTGTATCCTGCAATATTTAGTATTAACTATATGATTTAGCACTGTGCCAAACACATTTTCAAGAGTACATTTTGATATAAAAAGAAACTATAGTTTATTCCTTGTATGCTTCAATTTCTTTCTAATGCTGTCCAAATGGTAATTTATGATAGTTTAAATTTGGGGAAAGCTGAATGACTATTCTGCTTGGGCTAACTGGCCATGTATGCATTTCTCTGGGTTAATATAGAGAGGTTTGTGTCAAGAGGAGATAGCTACCAGTATCTGAGGAGTGAATGGGTATGAGTCTGGGTAATTACGCTACATTCCTTCACAAATGAATTTTTAAAAAAATGTTTGTATATTAGACTATTTTTTTTACTAATTGAAAGATGTTTTCACATTTTGTAAATTGAAAAAATGCTACTGAAAGCTTTCAGAAGCATTTGTTTCAACTGTGTTGCCACAGCCTTTCATAAGCAGTTTGCCTTCCTAGAGAGTAAGAAACGCAGCATATTTGCAAACAGCAAAAATCTAAAACAGCTAAACTTTTTAGGGGACTATTAAACCCTGCTGTGTTTTCAAATGTATTTATCTAAAACAGGTGTTCCTCAATAAGTAAATCTTTCTTTCTATTATGTTTCTTTTCTTTTACAAATTTAATTTATGATAGGAGGCTATTTTTATGAAACTAGCTTGCAGAATTCTAATACGTTATTTGATTTGTGAGGAATAGTAACAGTATTCCAAAATATTCTCATGTACAAAAAAACCATTAAACTGAAGTGATTAATAACTCCTCAGAATCTAGTTAGTAATTGTTCCTATGGGAAATGTCTTTTTGCTGTTTCACCACTGGAATTTTTCTGAACAGAAGTATTTTAGCACCTTTTTGTTTTCACTGTTAATGGTGTTTTCTTCACTGTACAAAAAGCCACCTCTTGGGCTAAGATAGTATAGTGTAAGTAGGGAGAGGTAGAAAAAGCAGAAGTCACTCCTCTGCAGCTCTGGAAGTGGGACATTTTTGTAGCAAACAATGAAATATTGTATTTCTCAGGGTCAGGAGCAGCTTTTGTAGTGGGAAGTTCGTACTTAGAGATTAGAGGTGTTGTATGACATGTCACATAATTATTACTAGAAAGAGTTAAAATAATTCACGAGGAAACTCCCAAATGGTAAAAGCAAGAATTTCATACAGATGCAATCTAAAATGAAGTTGTCTCTTAGCTATTTCTGATGCTATATATATTAAAGCATCTTATTTTTAATAGCAAATACAAATATTTCCTTGTCCATAAACAAATTGTTTCCTGGTCATGTGGCTTTCCCAATAGCAAAGAAGGTCTGTTATTTCAATTTGCTTGGTATTTATTGGAATAAAATTAGCAGAAAGAAATTATAATTAAACAATAGAAACCTGAAGTCTAAAGTTGTCTTAGTTGAGAGGATTTGGAGCATTACTATATTATGTGATATGCCAAAGGGCATGCATGCTCCTTGATGGGATCTGTTGGCTATACATACAATATACCCTTGCAAAATTAATTATAGATTATTGAATAAATTGAATAAGATTCTCACTAGTTAGGAATTGAATTTTTCCCTGCTGTACCACCCAGAGTAATACCTAGTTTTGTTTTGCCTATCACAAACATGCAGATTACTTGCTGCGAAAGAAAAAGGTAGCAGTGTTCATTTTTGGGGAACAAATTCCTGTTAGCTGTCTGTAACATGGGCTGTGACTTCCGGCAGCGCGAAGGAGAAAGCCCGAGGTTGCGGCTGTAATCGGTGCAGTGCTCCGCCTCTGAGTATCAGTCGCAGTTTTACCAACGTGAACCACATTACTGGCAAGAGCACATACCAAGATAAAGATTTTTCTACATTAAAGGAAAAAAAAAGGTGGTGTTTTTTGTTGGTTTTTTTTTTTTTAAAAGTGCTGCAGTGCAGTAATTGATACAGTGACAGAATTTTACTCCTTTGTGTTGACATAGCTTTGTAGTATTTTTTCACTGTATGGCTATAGATTTTTACATACCTAACTATAATGATTATTGAATTGTTTTATTCTTACTGCTTTCTCCCTTTGAGTACAGGTTCTGTATGTGGAAACTTGTGGTAGCTTAACTAACAAAGGGATATTGTCAAGATTTTAGAATTAACACTAGCCATATTGTACTTTTTAAGAAAACACAGACACTTCCACAATCTAAATAAATAAGAATGAAATTATTATTTTTAATCTTCCACTTCAGTACTGTAAAATTGCAGAATAATTCTTGAGTATTTTCATTATCTGCAGCTATAAAAGATCACAATAGTTTTTGACAAAACTTTAATTATAAATAAGTATTTTTTTAAATGATTCAGTGATGCCCTTTTGTATTTTTTTGAGGCTCTTTATTGCTTATATTAACAACTCTAACATGTATAAAGGTAGGCATGGGCAATATTCAGCCATAAGTATTTTAGTGAGGTGTGGCCATTAAAAAAGCTATTTAAAATTTTAAAATTTGAGTCAAATTTTAGACTTACTTTTGGTGTTGTGGTGTCACTAGTGAGAATATTGTTACTGTGGAATAATTAGGTTGTGCTAACGTTAGCTCTAACATGAAATACCTTGTAGCACTGAAATAGTTCTTAAATGCGTTTGTGGCTCATGACAAAAAAGTTTGTAATCGAGTCTGACTCATCTGGTGCTAGTGAGAGAGCAGGACGTTCTGCCCAGGTGCAGGTGTTCATGGATGGACCCAGGGAAACGAACGGGTCGGTTCAGCTGGCCCTGGCTGTAAAGCTGGCACCTTTTAACTCCCAGCCCCAGGCAGACACTGATGGGGTTGGATCCAAACAAGCACCTGATGCTTTTGTTACGTGCCCGACACTCCTCAAGTCTCACACCCTAGAAATAGCGAGAGCCCGCGGCACAAGTCCTATGTCCTAGTTTGCTTCCACTCACCGAAGAGCCACACCGTAATCATACGAGTGTTTCCATATCCCTCAGAGAATTTGTCATCATTAAAGTACTGAGTTGTAATGGGTGAGCTCTTAATGTAAGTAGTGAGTTTTTAGATTTCATGGTTCCTTGACTAAATATTAAAGTGTTATTGTTATATACAAATATATTCATAGTATTTTCATATTTCATTTACTTAAAATAAATGTTTCAAGAGTTCAGTTTGGACCCTTCCAAAATGAAACTTGCAAGTTTTTATCCTGGAATGCACATGCACTTCATTGGTCCTTTCTCATTGTGCTCACACTGCTCAAATTATGCCTGGGGCATAAGGCATGGAGGGAATCCATTTTTTGATTATTCTGAGACAATTCTTGCCCGCCCATGTTCAACCCATCAGACGTAACTACATCGTTTCTAGTTTCTACATGATTCAGATGCGGTCTCCCACCTTATTTTGGAGTTCCCTCTATGAGGAAGGAATAGTTTTCATTGGCACGCATGCAACTGCGTACACTGCTTGCAGCTACCCAAGTTGTTATGTGTCTCATCCAAATATCCTTCTAAAAAAAATCCCTTGGCCTGAGGGTTGGTTTGGGGGAACCGAGGGGGTGGGAGGGGAGAGTTTATCCTGCGTGGAACAGCACTAGCTCAGGCGACGGAACACCAGTGTGTGGCATGCATTTTAGCAATCATCCGTCCAGGCAAGGGAGCCTACAACACTGGTACACTGGTGGTGTAGTACGTCACCAAATAACTGACTGTCCCAGTTACAGTTTGTGACACAGAGTGGCAAGTATTTCTCATTATTTCAGTGACTATTTAAAGAGATTTGTCTTGACTTCAAAAGAGCTTTTCTCCATCACTGTACTTAGTGCAGCTGTGTTGTAAGGCTTGTATTTCTGTTTTGAAAACAAGTATGCTGCTTCCTAAAAGCTAGAATGGTGATTTAGCTGATTTCCAGCCCCACCTCCCCAGGGGATTGATTATTAAACAGGATACTACTTCTGTGTTTGTCATGTAGCCTCTGTCTTTTGGAAGCTGTAGTTACGAGCACTAAACCATGTTGCATGGGGCACTGCTTCAGCTGCCAGCTTCGGCTGTAAACCTCACTCCCCCAACACCATTCTTTGTCAATCAGCTCATTTTCAGTGCACTTCCTCCTTTCCCGTCTCCCAAAATAGCTTCTGAATTTGTTTTACCTATCCCTTATTTGCAATTCTCTTCCCAGCCAAGGGCTACAAAATTTGTTGGAAACAGCCCAAGTCTGTCACTACAGTTAATTGTTTTTGAGAAACCATACAGGGGATCATCTGCTGCTCGTTTTCACTTCACAAGTACAGGCCGAAGACTTACGCTTTCTTTGGGCAACAGCTTATTTTATGTGTTCAGTTCTTTTGTTAGGGTTTATGTTGTACAGAAATAATACAGAACCTGAACTGAGCTTAAATTCCTGTAAACCAGGAGGAGAAATTCAATGGGTTTGCGCTTCCTGCTTAGACTAAATGTGCTCTGTAAGCATGGGCAAAGTGTGATGATTCCTTGAGAAAATACATTTGTTTCAGATTCATGAGAGCTTTTTTGATTCTGAACAGTCCCATGTGGAGATGGATTTTCAAATTCAAGGTCAGCCTTGAACATCTCCTGTCTGATGCATGCCTGCAGTTCTGGATGGTACCACTTCATCGCCACATACAAATCTGCAGATCAGATTCATGTAATACCAGGTTCTCTGTGATATGGATCACTCCTCCTCATCAGTTCTTTTTATTTGCTGTCCAAAAGTACTGGTTGGAAAAAAATGATGATGCACGTAGTGGGTTTTCTAAAAAAATCCAACAGCTGTTACACATTGCATAAAATTCTCAGTTCTGACCAGCACAGTAGCAGGTTGGAAAACTCAGAATTTCAGCAAAAAATTATTTTAGAACTCAGCTTGTCAAAATCACCATCTGTTATGTCTTGATCAAACTTGTGTCCAGTTGTCAGAGATTTCTGACAGAAGGCAGAAATTTATTCCTTAAATTATTTATTCCTCCAGCGGGTCTATCTGCTATGTTCTTAAAGCATTGGTGGTATTTTAAAACCAAAACACCACAAGGAAGTGGGAGGATTATGTTCTGAACTAGAAAGCAAGTTTCTTTTGAAGGTATGGCTTTACTTGAGAG